AAAAAAAAAAAAAAAAAAAAAAAAAAAAAAAAAAAAAAAAAAAAAAATTTTAAAGAACAAAATCACCATTTTGCAACCCCCAATGCAATAATTGATCCAGAAAAGATCAAATCTGTTAATATTATGAAAGAAAAAAGCCAGGGAGATCATTTCAGATTAAAGGAATTTATAGACCTAACAACAAAATACATGTATGAACCTAGATCACATTATGGATTAAGAAGGAACAACTATGAAGGACTATTTTGGGAACTATTAGGAAAATTTTAATATCATTTATATGTTAGATAATGTTGACATATCAATGTCAAATTTCTTTGCTATAGAATTTCCTTGTTCTAGGAGGTATATACTAAGATATCAGAATAATATGTCATGCTGTCTACAATTTACAGTCTGATGACTCAGTGAAATCCAAGATTAAATCTATAGAAAGAGAAGTAAAGCAAATGACATGGAAGATTAGGTGGTGAATCTAGGTAAAGAGTGCATGGATGTTCATTCTTTTAAACTCTTTTATAGGTATGAAATTTATCAAAATTAAAAGTGGAGAGGAGAGCCAACAGGTGGCATGGTGGTTAAGGTCTGGACTATCACATGGCCAATTGTGGTTTGAGTCCCAAACCTGGTAGCTTGCTTTCTCACTTTCTCGCTCTCTCTGTCTCTCTCTAGTAAACATATGTGCCCTATACAAAGATAATAACAGTAATATAATAATAATTAATAAAGTGAGTAAATAAGTTTTAAAAGAAAAAATGTGGAGGAGAGAGCCAGCAGGTGGCATGGTAGTTGAGGTGCTAGATCCTACATGGCCAACTCTGCAATTCGGGTCTCAGACCAGCAGCTTGAGAAACACACCAGGCATGTGTGTTTTTCTCAAGATTCCAAGAGAAGAATGGAGGAGAAGGGATCGTGGAGTGGCCATCTCCTCTGGAAGTGGATCTTTCACTTTCTCTCTCTTTGTCTCTCTCCAGCAAGTGCATGCCTCCTATGGTAAAAATCTAAAACAGTAATAATAATAAAAGTAAAAGGAAGAAGAAAAATTCTGAGGGAAAAGGAAAAATACTAAAAATACTAAAAAATACAATGTGTAACATAGCACAAAATTGAAATGAAAACTATATCTGCCAGGGAGGGAAAAAAAATCTCAATTTTTATTAACCTAACAATATTTTTTTTGTGTATTAATAGGTTAATGATGCTTTGTCCCTCAAGTATTTGGCCCTGTTTCCTAAATACATACTTGGGTCCAGCTGGGCATAACTTGAATTGGGTAAGAAATCAGAAAGGACTCAGTCAGGCAGATGATGTCTTTTTCTCATGATGGCCTATGAATCCTACTGCAAGCAGTCCTGATAATGCCAACGGCTCAGCTAATGCCAGGAGGGAAAGAAAATAAAGGAATCGGTCAAAAAGAAAGTAGGGAAACAGAACAGGATGGAGTGGAACAACAGGAAAGGAGCAGGTTTTTATACTGTTTACTCCTGTTTGTGTATAAAATAACCTATATGTGTATAAAAATAGGATGTGTATACACACAGACACACACACACACACACACACACCATGAAGTCACCCTTGTCTAAATAATATTCTCTATGATTATCTCTCATAGAGCTATGTCCCTCACCCTCACAGCATTGTTTTCACTAGCCCTTAAGACCCATGACAACAGGGACCCAGTCTTATTTTCTAACACATAATATACACTCAAATACTTTCTAAATGAATGAATAGACAAATGAGTTCAGAATAAGCATGTAAGGAGGTGGGTGAAACCTGTCCATGTTGGAGTACAGAACAGGGCTATGGAAGAAGGGTCTGAAATATTGGCAAATAGGGCAGAGCCGAAGGCTGATGAAAAGTCTGGCTTCTCTGGGTTAGGTGGTGGGACAGCCACCACAATCTCGTTCTGTCATACATAAGGTTATCCAAACCTCTTTCTACTTCCTGTTACTAGACTGCACTTCTGCAGGTGAGAAGTGTTCCTGCCTTTGTCTGTGTCTCTGCACCTCCTTCCCCACACTGCTTAGTAAAATGCCAGTGACTAGGTTGAAGAATAAACTATAAGTCCTTGAGTAGGTAGTATCAATTTATTGACCACATTTCCCCCATCAACCAGCTTAATCTTTGTTTTAAAAGCTAAAAAGCAAAAAAACCTCTCCAATAAATAAATAAATAAATAATCAAAATAAAAAATAAATAAAAATAAAATTAAAAATAAAATAAATAAATAAATAAATAAAAGCTAAAAAGCAAGCTGAGTCTACCAAAGTAGATATTTAACCTTATCTTTATTTTTGGCTCGACTTGTCTAACTGGTTCCACTTAGTTACACTGTTTTCCTACTCAGCCGTGAAAGCCACAGCACTCTGTAACAGCAGTGACCTTCTCAGCAGCTACAGAAGGCCATATATTTTATTTTTCACTTATACTTCAGGCTTGAAAAACAAACAAGCAAATAAACTTCTAACTAGCTTCACCAACTAAAATTATTCCCTATAGTCCCTCCCATCAAGGGACTCTGTAGATACCATCGACTCGAATTCTCAAGATAACCAACCCTTACCCCTTATTAAGAGACTTGCCCCCCATCATAGAGCTAAAAAGAAGCAGAGCTGGCTTCCACACAAAGCCAACTCCAAAGTTCATGCCCTGACCCATTATTCTTATCTGCCTCTCAAATGTCTAATAGCAGGGGTTGGCAAACTACAGCCTGCAGGCCAAATCCAGTCTGACACCTGCTTTTGTAAATAAAATTATATTGGAAGACAGCCACACTCTTTTGTCTGCATACTGTCTATAGCTGCTTTCATCCTACAAGAGCAGAGCTGAGAATTCAAAACCCATAAAGCCTAACATATTTAATATCTGGCCCTTCATAGGAAAAATTTGCCAACTGTGATCTATATCTAAGCAGAGACCCTTGGGACTTCAGTCAGGGGGACAGAGTGATGTCTACTCAGATAATACCATTTGTAAGAAAATAATCAGCTGCCTATAGGCATAGTTATAGTTTCATTTTTAAAAAAGAAACAGCAACATCTCCTCATTGATTTGTGTTCCAGAACTAATTTCTTGGTACTACAAGATTGCTATGTGGAAAGAAGTGGGAGAAAATCAGATTTCATAGTTCCCTGATCACCACACTTCAGACATAAGCACAAGCCTTGACCAGAGCACACCAGATGAACCTGATCCTTCCATCCCAGCCCTCTGGCTAGACAGGCAGCCAAGCCAGGCTGCACATCTCAAGCAAAATGGAGAGTTCCGGGGAACTTATATTTGCTTTAAAAATGTTTTCAGGGTTTAGACCCTGAATGCACAGCAATTAAGAATTGTGCATTGGGAGCTGGGCCCCACCACATGACTGACTGTGTTTGGAATCCTGGCCTTGGTAGCCTGGAAAACACACCAGGTGAGGTATATGTGCATGCTCCAAATCCTGAGAGAAAAGGAAGAGAAAGGACTGTGGCATGACCACAGGGGAGCATACACACACATACTCTCTGTCTCATGCCCTCTGGCTATAAAGAAAAGTGTCATTTTAGAATCAAGAAGGGGGCCTAGAATTAAAAGGGGGGACAGTGACTTGGCAAGGGGAAAAGTCCAATTAAGGATGATTCTTAGTAAAATTTAAAAGCAGGGGTGGGGAGATAAGGCTGAGAATATCAGGGGAGAAAACTATATTCCTAGACATAGACCTGATTTGTTACTCAGGACTGGGGAAGGACTAACTTCATCAATAACAAATGCAGTGTTAGGAATTTCACATATGAAGTCACTCGATCCATCTCATTTAGTCCAGCAAAAAATCTCTGTGAAGTACATGTCATTGTTCACAGTTTGGAAATGAGAGAACAGCCTCAGAGAGCTTAGCAAGTTGCCTAAGGTCACATGTTACTTTACACCTTCCAGGAAGTAACAGATGTGGGATATGAACTCCCTTTAATTCCAAAACCCAAATTCAAACATTATGCAATACTGTATCTCAGAGGCACAGTTATTATAAGAAACACACACACACACACACACACACACACACACACACACAACCTGGGCAGACTATTGTGTTGGAAAACTAAGTTCCTAAACCCATACTGCTAATTGTAAATTTCTTTACCCTTCTGGGACCTCACCCCTGAGTACCCTGCTCCTTTGCCAGGAATTGAAGCAATAGCATTTGCCAAATCTACAGCCATGTTTTAAACTCAAGAAAACAGCACTACTAGACACAAGAATGACTCTATCAGATTCCTGTTTTTGTTTCTTAAATGAAAGCTTAACAAGAGTGTGTTAAGTATATTCCCACCTCATTGTCAGACACAACACCTAGGATGACTGGGAGTAGTAATGCTGGAGCTAATTGCATGTGTCTCAACTCTGCATTTGGTGACATTACACTGGTGAGTTTGAAATCAGCGTAGGTGGAAATACTTACAACACAGAAATTAGCCAATGAATCAATGAATCAGCAAACAAATCAGGACTTTCAGAATTTTTTTAGCGGTCCAGTTGTTAAACATTTACCACCATACCACTGGCTAGGAGATGTCCTGGTCTGAAGGCAACCCAGACCTTAGGAACCTACCTAGTTGCAATCATCTTTTTGATAGTACTGTCTTAGTCCGTTACTGTGCTGGTAACAGAAATATCTAAGAGGGGATGAACTTAAGAGAATAAGATTTTGACTCACAGTTCTGGTGACTGGAAAGTCCAAAGACATCACAATATGGTGGAAGGCAGAACTTTTTGCAAAGCCAAGCGTGGTCTGTATCCATATGACTTTCTATCAGCTGCTCTGGTCTCATTCCTTCTGCTTATAAACCCTACCAGAAATCAATCGTGGAGGCCCCATCTTAATGACATTATCACACCCAAAGGCCCCACCCTGGGACACCATGAAGAAATTAAGTTTTTACTTAACACCTTCATGATACAATCAAGTCCAATACATGAATTTCTTTGAACCAGGTAATCACCATTCACTAAATCTAATTCCAAAATACAAAACATTGGGTGACAAACCATTTTATCCAAGCCTTGACAAGTACCATCATCATAAGGTTTTATACAATATTTAAAAGCCCTTTCTGATAATTGCTACATTTCAGATTCACAAGAGCTCTATGAAACAGCTAGAGTCCCTTACAAAGAGGGAGCACACGGCAGAGAGTAACAAAGTAGCGTGCCCATCACTACTCAGCTAACTGGTAAAAAGGCAGCAATGAGAACCACTGACATTTGATCTACACTTGCACAGTACTCTGTATTTCCTTCACACCACATTTCACAATTTGTAGCTACATATATGTTTGTATACATATTTGATAAAATCTATCTCCTCCTCACCCAGCCATGATGGTACACAGATAGCACCAATCCTTCTGAGGCTGAAAGCCACATGGAAGGGCCAAGTTCAATTCCCAGGCCACCCTAAACACACTGGGCACACTGCATATGCCTATAATTTAAGCTAATTGGGAGGCTGGAGCTAGAGAACCATGACATAGCAAAACACTGTCAAAAAATTTCTGTCTCTCTCCCTTACCCTTCTTTTCTCTACTTTCTTCTCTCATAAACAAGAGAAAATATAAATATCTATGTAGAAAGAGAGAGAGGCCCTAACTTAATGGCATTATCACACATACTTGAGAAATAAACTGCCAACAGAAATATCAATAGATGCAATAAACAGAATATCTGGGGCAACCAAAGGAAAGTGATCTCTAGACTATTCCATAATGTGTTCCTTTTTTTTTTTTTTCAGGTTTTTGTCATAGGGTGTATATGTGTATGCTCACAGGAGAAAGAGAGAAACAAAGTGAGAAACCACCCCCAGAAGGGATGGCCATGCCACAACCCCTTCTCCTCCATCCTCCTCTCAGGACTTTAGGCATGTACACACACATGCCCAGTGTAATTTTTCAAGCCACAGGAATGAGGACTTGACCATCGTTGGCCAAGCCCAGCCTATTGTCCAAGGTTCTCCTGACCGTATCCTCCAACCACCTGGCTGGAGAAGGCAAGCATTCAGATAGGAGGGCATCCACCACTAACCATCCTGGGAAATAAGGGTCTAGTCCTTCCCTAGAGATAAGATACCAGAATCTGACACCTGAAATATGGTTTCAGGAGACAACAGCACATTTAAAAATGAGACAGTGCTAAGAAAAACTAACCTGTAGTAATTATAACATGTACCTGACACTAATCTAATTTTTAAAGAGATTTAACCAATTTCTTCCTGACCTGCATCTAAAATGCCATTTCCTCATTAGTTCTCACTCAGAGTTGTGTCTGAAAAGCCTCAATAGTGTTCCATAAGAAAATGTGGAACTCGGGACCAGCAGTTAGTGTAATGGCTATGTCACTGGACTCCCCAC